GATTGGGACAAGTTTCGTAGTTGTATACGTGAGGTTCATGACTTTCACATGAATAAAAAAGCGGAACATGAAAATGTGGAAGAAAATGCGGATGAGCAAACCCATAATAACGGACTGGATCTGAAAAAAGATCTAAYTCAAGTCGAGYTGGATATTGTSAARATKATGCAGCCATTGAATGAGCTCATCCAACGATCACAGAAGCTAACGAATAGCATTGAATGCATTGAGAATAAGATCAGTCGATTGGATCTTAAAGTGGACAGTTTCTACATCAGATATAATGAAAATCTACAGAAAAGGGAGCAATCCTTTGAAGAGATGATGGCGCTGCAGAGATTGCGTGAACGAATCGGCGAGAGGTTGACAAAAATCGAAACGGAAATTCATACATCCAAAACTCTATTACTCCAGGGGCGTGTGCAGAAGAATTAAAAAACAATCATGAAACAAGGAAATGAGGCTCGTTAGTGAAATTGTAGGTATGCTGCCCTTAGAAGAGCATCGAAAGGGTCTCTCTCTCTCAGTGGGTCTCTCTCTCTCTCGCTTTCTCCCTGTTTACCTCGGTAAAGTGAGGAAATCGATAGCTCTTCCATCAGCATCCAGCAATTACACTTATGAGCCCCCATTCCAAATGCAATTACTCTGATTATGGACCTTGTTGTTGCACTTTGCGTATGTCGTTATAACTGATCTGACGAACCAAAGTCTCGTTTAATGTGGGCACTCAAATTCTGTGTATGTCTTCAACAATTTACATTGAGCAATAAATATCGAAATGTTTATGAATTATGTGCTAAATGGTCGTCCACTATGGCGGGGGAGGGTGTTATTATAGGTCTACTAATTAATTGAGGCAGGCACTGAGGCGCTAGTCAAGTAACTCCCTGCTAAACTCTGGGTATTTAACAGCTACATTTGTGCTGNCGATCACAGAAGCTAACGAATAGCATTGAATGCATTGAGAATAAGATCAGTCGATTAGATCTTAAAGTGGACAGTTTCTACATCAGATATAATGAAAATCTACAGAAAAGGGAGCAATCCTTTGAAGAGATGATGGCGCTGCAGAGATTGCGTGAACGAATCGGCGAGAGGTTGACAAAAATCGAAACGGAAATTCATACATCCAAAACTCTATTACTCCAGGGGCGTGTGCAGAAGAATTAAAAAACAATCATGAAACAAGGAAATGAGGCTCGTTAGTGAAATTGTAGGTATGCTGCCCTTAGAAGAGCATCGAAAGGGTCTCTCTCTCTCAGTGGGTCTCTCTCTCTCTCGCTTTCTCCCTGTTTACCTCGGTAAAGTGAGGAAATCGATAGCTCTTCCATCAGCATCCAGCAATTACACTTATGAGCCCCCATTCCAAATGCAATTACTCTGATTATGGACCTTGTTGTTGCACTTTGCGTATGTCGTTATAACTGATCTGACGAACCAAAGTCTCGTTTAATGTGGGCACTCAAATTCTGTGTATGTCTTCAACAATTTACATTGAGCAATAAATATCGAAATGTTTATGAATTATGTGCTAAATGGTCGTCCACTATGGCGGGGGAGGGTGTTATTATAGGTCTACTAATTAATTGAGGCAGGCACTGAGGCGCTAGTCAAGTAACTCCCTGCTAAACTCTGGGTATTTAACAGTTATATTTTTGCTGTTTGTGTGACTTAGCTAAAGGGGGAGAAGGTAGCTTGAGCTCACTTTTATGACTCTATGAAAGAAAAGCTTTCGAGGAAGCATAGCGTAGCATCAGAGATCTTTACTTGTCTGGGATTTGGAATTCGTTCATCTCTGATTCATATTTGAAAACGTTATCAAGGCCTTGGAAGGCAGTAGTAGAGCGTATTGCGTATTGCTCTACTCGAAAGAGATTTCCGAGAAGTTCTTCAAGGTAGTTTAGTATTACATTTATATTTAAGTAAGGTAAGCGCAGTAACTTTAACAGACTTATTTGAATTTAAATTAAGAAAACTCATCTAGAATAATTTTCCGCTTAAAAAACACTCAAGCGACATCACAGATATTTGAAGAATCTTTAAATATTAAATAGACTATAAAAGCATAATCAAAATTCAGCTAAACTAAATGTCATTAGAAACATTCAGTATTCGTACAAAATTCTTAAACCAACAAAGTGGGCTCTTCATATATACATATATTTTTAGATTCAAATATACAAACTTCTTATTATGCTAGTCTATATTTATATATCGCACGTTGCATATTTATAAAAAATTATTTCGTCTTTATTTCTTTATTGGTTTTTACTGTCGTTTCTCAAYTGAATTTGGACATCGATTTATTTGTTTCGGCATGCAGAATTTTGTCCGTGAAATTCTCGCAACGGACTTGTACTCGGGTTTGGTAACGCTAAACCGTCGATATATACAGCGCCACAAGTTCCAGCCGCTGCGTCCGGCGTTGCCCGAGAAAAATGTCGTGCCCCAAAGATTGGGCCTTAATGACTATAGACGGTATCATAAGGGAGATGAGTCTGAGCTCTACACTTACGGGTATGAGCGAGACAATGACGTGGTTGCCCGCCAAGAAGAGTCTGCCCCTGTGGAGTCGGCGACTACCTCGACGGGAATTGCCTAAAAAGTGGCACGCATTCGATGTGGAGGTGCCCGAACATCTGTGGACCCTGTGGGGTGGAGTGCATCCGCGCTCCAGCTGCTTCGACAGCCAGGTGAGGGGACGTCAGACCCTGGCCTGCTGTGTGGTTGCCTGCTGTGCGACGAGCATCTACCGCAGCTTCAAGGAGTGGACGCCCAAGTTCCTCGATGCCATTGTCATCAGCGGCGATAAATACTATCGGGCGAGCATGCTGACTAGCCGGGGCCCGTACGACCTGTCGCTCGAGTGCGACTTCCATGGCATTAACTTCCTCGTCCAGCTGCAGCTGGTGGCCTATGGCCAGCTCTACAGTGCCCCAGCTGGCAAGGTTATGGGTCTCTACGAGGCACTCAACTACTTCTTCACGCGCTATCAGCACGGCCTGGTCAAGTGYCAGGGGCAGCACTTCGCATTCGGCTACTCCTCCTGCCGGGATGGCGGCTACTTTCTCTACGACTGCAGTGCCTGGGACAAGCCTTTGTTTCCCGACAACATGGGCGCCTCCTATGTGCTGCGCAGCAAGCAGCTCCTGCTCCTCGCCTACTGCATGGTGATTACCCTCAATATAAGAAAGGCTGGTATAGATTTTCAAATTTTTAGCGTACAAGCAAATCGATCAATGAACTAGAAACGATTCTCCAGCATTTAGAGATGATTAATTAAGTATGTGGTAGTAGTAGCCAGCCTCAGTTCTTAAGTGAGGGAAAATAAAGACGGAATAATGTAAAATGAAAGCGTTTTACTTAGGGATCCTAGCTCCCAAGATAAATGGTATACATAGAGTTTATTATATAATTCTTAAGTCAATAAATATATACAGATTTCTATAGTATCTATACCTCTTATAGGAAGATCGACTTTCTTTATAGAAACGACAAATTTGTAAGATAATGTCAAAGATATCTCCCTCTGCTCATCTTACTTATTTTTATCTGTT